AAATTCTCCCACGCATGCCTTCTGTGTGGTCGTGGTATTACACCGGGCGAGCCGGCCCATTCATGCGAAGATGTTAAAGTGGGCTCTACCAGTGTTACGGTAATAATATAACAAAAAATGTTTACAAGAACAATGACAGCAAAGTGTGTTAAGGAATGCTCAGAAAGAGATAAAAATTATCAATGCGACAAACATCCGCTCAAAATATAGTTTCTATACAGAATAATAAAATAAACTTCATGAAAGTGTAACAGTAAATACAGATGTTATTATGTTCTAAAATCCACTAGCATATTTAGACAATAAAACAAAACTAACTACAGTTAAATGTGAAAGCGTATCGAAACATTAATTTCCACATTAGAGGAAATAATATTGATACAGCATTATAAAATGTTTTCTATACCTTGAGAAAATCAACAACAGGCCGCACATGCTATACAAAATTCGTTTACTGTCTTTGTTAGAGAAGGCGCACACCTTGGACTAAACTATCTCACAACTGTTTCGTCGCGCTTTAATTCCTATGACCTCATAAGGATGTGCGCACACTACTCGATTTTTAGCTGTGCAACTAAACAGTTGAATTGGCTGCGAAACAATCGACACAGTTGTGTGATAGTTTAGGTGTGCTCCCGCTCTTAAAGTCCAAAGTCTAGAATTGCCCGTCATTAGATCATTAGATGTCCTAGGTGAGTACAACTAGCGTGACCGGGGCATAGAAGGGAAGTGTATCTTCGTGTAGTGACCTAAATATACCGTAACAAATGCACTTACGGGAATCGTTTAGAGTAACGACAAGAGAATTACAAAGTGTATTAACCAATTACTTTTTAAACACCACTCTTTATTGCTTAAAAACATCAGAAGAACGACGAATAAAATCGTCAAAATTATTTCAGTGACATTAATTAATAATTACGGCTCTTCTTATGTCAAACTTATGTAGGTACAGACTACTATTAGACCCGTCGGAGGTCCTTGACGGTGTATGAATTATATGGTGCTCATATTTGAGTCGTGGCGAGTACAATCACACAAAGGACGGGTCTAATAAGTCTAATCATTTAGGCTTCACACGGTCCAAGATAAGGATTCAATAAATTATATATGGTAGTACATTTAATACCATAACTACATTATATAGTATTAGTTTTCTAAAAAAGAATATAAAAAATAGCCTATCTTACTCACTGACTACGTAGCTTTCTAATAATGAAAGAATTTGTGAAATCGGACCAGTAGTTTTTGAGTTATTTAATTACAATCAAAGTTTTCCTCTTTATAATATTAGTTAGTATTTAGTATAAACCAGTATATTTTTATTTATACTTATTATTGTTAAAAAGAAATCAGTACGGCGCTGGAGGATTGGCGCAACACTAGATTACTGGCAAAGAAGTCCCGTCCCTATCTGTCAGCTGTCAATGTCATCCAGACGTATTAGATAGCGCGCCATTCTGGCGGTAGCTCTGAGTGTTTAAGTTAATTACGTTAACGCAATTAAAAACCATCTCTATCATTAATTAGTTCTTTAAAAAATAAGGTCTTCCATCTCACGAATACTAAGAATTACGTAAAGACGTTCATTGAACTTAACTATCCAGCAGTTCCCGGCTTATCGCTGAAAATTGCTCACATCCCGTTCACATTGTCAAGGGATATTGCACCTTATGTACAATGGTACCGCCATAAGTCAATAGCAATGTCAACAAACATGAAGTAGACAAACAACTGTAAGGGTTATAACGATAACCCTTACCTTGGTTGTATTGCATTAAAAAGAACGGAAAATTTTACACAGAATAAATAAAATAATTTTCCTTGAATTGTTGAGTTTAGATTTTGGTAAGACAGTCTCGACTGAAACCATCTTGATGAATAGCTCGATTCTTATAAAATGTAATATTAAAACACTCCTAAATCGGTACAACACAGGATCTTTAAGAAATATAACTAGTACAACTAACTTTCGCCCGCGACTGCGTTCGCGTGAAATTAAAAGAACAAAAGTAAATAGCCTATGTGTTCTTCCAGAATATGTGCTACATGTATGCCAAATTTCATTTAGATCCGTTCAGCCGTTAAGGTTACAAACTGTAACAAACATACATACATTCATCTAAACTTTCGCATTTATAATCTTATCTTACTAATATTATAAATGCGAATGTTTAGATGGATGGATGGATAGATGGATGGATGGATAGATGGATGGATGTTTGTTAGCGTTTGTAGCCTAAACGGCTGAACGGATCTAAATGAAATTTCGCACAATTTTTTAAAGCATAGTCTGGAAGAACACATAGGCTACTTTTTATCCCTGGAGTAGTTACGGTTCCCGTGGGATTCGTTAATTTAGTTTTTTAATATTTACTCGATCATTCTGCAACGGTTCAACATATCTTATTAAAATATGGCACAGATATAAAACAAAGTCCGGAGTTCACATGGGATAAGCTTCATCCCCGAGAAATGTCCGGTTCCCAAGGGATTTTGTACGAAGTCCCGGGCAACAGCTCGTATAATATAACGTTCGTATGATTAGTATGATTATTAAAAGGACTATAGCGCTCCTGCAGTCTAATTTCCACTTATTGTTTCGTTTTTAGTTATATTTCATCAAAACTAGAAAACGAATTAAAAATAGCACATATAGTTCGCTCCAGCTAGATTTTATTCTATAAGTTTAGATGTCAAACGTATGGATAAAAATGCCAGGTTCATATGAAAATTGAATATTTTACGGGAATTTGCTAAGAACTTTTTGCTGGGACTCTCAGTACTTTTTTCGTAATGTTGAATCAAAGATTTGACATTCGAATGATTAGTTAATACATATAATAGAATAATCGCTCACCTAAAATCTTTTACGAAGTGGAAATGACGTAGAGTTTTTTTTCACTTAAGTCTAGGTTAGTGTTTCTAGGTTAATTGTTGGAATTGGCGGCTAGCTGACGTTTCCGGGCGGCTCGCTTCAATTGACTACCGCAATTAATCTATACCTGTATTTATTGATGCTATGACGGTCAATGAAAATGCCAAATTACATACTTAGAAATTGTAAGAAAACTGTACCAGTTTACCGAGGAGAGGATTTACGCCAAGATCTCACTTCTTACTAATATTACAATATATAAGACTAGCTGTTCTAGCTAGCTAATATTATAAGGCTAGCCGTTCCCGTGTGACTTCATCCGCATGAAATTTTATTTTATTGTTTACATTTGTCAAATTATCAATAGCAAATGTCAAAATGACATGACATGACAAACTCTAGCAATCTTTCTTTCTTGATGTTGGCAGCAACTTATGGTCTCTTTCATTAGGATTAGGATTTTTATCCAAAATATTTACTCCCTAAGTTTAATGGCGTGAAAATATATAGCCTAAAGCATAACGTAAGTGTAAGGCTTTTTAATAAAAAAAAGAATTATTCAATAATATGCTGTAATTGCTGACATCTTAGGCGACAAAGAAATATGTGTTTACGCTTTATTATAATAGTAAAAAAAAAACATATCTAAATGAAATTGGCACAAATGTAGAACATAGTCTGGAAGAACACATTAGTTTTTTTCTTATAACCACGCGCGAACTCTGTCGTAGCCAGCCAGTCTTCAATAAATCAGGTTGAAAACTTTTGTATATACGATGAAATCATGTGTAAAATTTATTTTTCTTTAAATGTTTTCGAAGTTAATAAAAATAATGCCATGACTGTAGATTGTGACAAAACAATTATTTACTCAGCAACAATTAATCAATTAAAAGACTAATTGAATCCTGTACATACGATATCAAACATCTCTACACATTGTACATGTTAAAAGGTACTTTCTAAGCCATTACAAGCCGGACAATAAATCTGTTTATACTTGCGACACGTTCCCATCGCGACGTAATTGTTTTAGTTATAAGGTAAGCTAGAATTGATGTCTAAGCTAGAATCAAGTCATAATTCATAACAACACGTGGACAAATGATATCTATCAATTAATAATGCTAAATTCATTTATAATCACATGTATAGCTTCAAATAACAATAAGCAATGATCAGTCAAAAATAAGTAATTGCTAGAACATTCTTCAATCACCATCATCACTACTATACGTCCCCACTGAGGGTCTCGGAGTCTAAGTAAGGGGAGACTAAGCCATAGTTAACAACGCTGGCCTACTGCGGATTGGTTAACTTCACACATAACTTTGAATTTCTTCCCCGATATGTGCAGGTTGCATCACGCTGTTTTCCGTCACCGTAAGAAGGTTGTATAAATTATGTACAACCCACCACCACCAATGGCCTCACCGACCCTCGGTTCATAAAGGCCGAATCGCGGGAGGGGTGCGCGGTTTGGCCGGTAACTTTAAATGTAAGTTCTGTAACTACATGAGTAATTTGATAATCACATTAGTATATGGCGGGATTCGAGTCCCAAGACTGTTGTTTACAACTCAAGTGTCAGTGAGGCACCAACGCTGTACCGAGCCACTAACGCTCTGTTTAAAAAAGAAATACAAATGAATGAATGGAAATGAATGTCACTAACCAGCTGAGTCCAGAGCCGTTTCATAGTCAGCTACGCCCTGCGCTTGATCCTGGCTGTCGTTACCAACGGTCCTATGTGTAGCTGAAACAACACATTAAAATTGAATACAATTTCATCATTTCCTTATCTCACATAGGGTGGATGCATCAAGTTTCCCTTCTCTAGGTAAATCTATCTTACGTTATCTCTGTCGTCACTCCCTTCATCATGGCATCTTTCACGCAATACAACTCTTTCTAGATATACCTCTAACGGTGTACCTCCACACTCATAATTACAGACTTAAGGCTACTTTAAGACTTTCCTCTACAACTCTAACATTCAATTGTTTTCATTTATGTAACCCCGTACATCTATCTTAATTAACAATGGATATTACTTAATTACTTTGCCTTTTAACTAATACTAGTGTTACGTCTTCATAATACTCAAAGGCAATGATAGACAGAAAAACTTATTTTATGTTTCTAATTGTAAAGAGTGACCAAATTATGTAAAGATCGGTTTAGTTTCAGGGATAATTCTGGATAAATATTTTAACAAGATATTTAAATATTTCTTTTAAAGTTAACAGGAAAGTTTGACAACTCTTAAAACTAAAAGGTCAGCTTCTAAAGGTTGAATTATTGTGATTATAGAAACGTTTGATTGTCTATGTATTTGAAATCGTAACAATCGTTAGTAATGTTATAGTCATAGACCCGACTTCACATTTTTTCTGACACACGCATTCAGTTGTCATTTGTTTATTTATTACCAGCTTTCGCCCACGACTCCGTCCGCGTGGAATTACGAAAAAAATAGCAAAACCATATCAAATTTAATTGAAATTTGTTCAGTTATTTAGGCTACATACTCTAACAAACATCCATCCATCCATCTTAACTTTCGCATTTATAGTATGATGTCTGAATGTATCGTCGCAAGTTTTCATTGTCGTCTTTGTTAGCTTTGTAAGCTTTATTTTAACAATTCCTCAATTAAAATACCAAAAGGTAACTATTGCTAAAGTTCTTTTACTAATGCTTTTATCCGATTTTGGTTTCTAAAGCGTTTTTAGGCTACAGATAAGTACTTAACTTCTTTGAACCGTGTAACCTCCTATTATACTTTCATATTATTATGTATTAAAATAAATTAATAAATGAATAAAATAAAATGGAATAAAATGAAATAAATTGAATAATCTACTTCTATCGCTTATAAGCTTTAGATATTTACATTCTTTTTTTCTTAATTTAAAATCGATATTACTCAACAACATTTAAAAACAAAACCATATTTCCCTTGGTAAGAGCATTACGCGTATACGACTGGATTTTTCTAATTCTCTTTTTTTATTGTGTTTTTAATTGTCAGAAGAAAGTAATTATGCAAGAAAAACTAGAAAGAATAACCACGATTTTTGCCATAAACATTGTTTTTGTTTTTTTATTTCGCGCGATGGAATTCGCGGGAAAAGGCTTAACATAAGCATGAAATTGAAGTAAAATAATTTTCCTTTAATCTGGTAAATGAAATGATTGTAAACGTTTACATAACAATTTGAAAACCGTTGATGATTTATTTGCCGTGAAATTTAAGTTTTGCATTTGGAAATGACCACGTTTATGCGAGTTTCGTGGTTTTTATCGCGTTTTATAAGCGGCTCGATAACAACGCTTTGTGCTGCAATCACCAACGACAACATACCACTGCACCACTGATGTAACACAGGGTGTTTTTATTTTCTAATAATAATTAACAGGATGTTTTAATTAATTACATTGCGTAACTCTATACCTACCTAGAGAAATCTAGTTTTAATATTTGTCATTTGGAATAAGATACAAATATTCTTTGTTTTATCTGCTAGTATGGGAAAAGGATAGATCCAGAATTCGGTGTTAATATAGTCGGAAGACGGCACTTAAGACATTGTCTGCTCACTATACGTTCTGACTTAGGGGTTTGGGGTCTTCCTAAAGTTAAAAGTGACTAGGTCCTAGTTAACCCAGTGCATGTGAATTAAGAGAGAATCGTCGACTAAAGTAAGAATAGCGTAGATAAGATCTACAAAGTAACGTCTATACCAGACAAAGATCTTATAAGGGACGGTATTATCATTTAGGAATGTCTAAAAGGTTCACCTGTTCTGGAAATTATCGCTGTTCAGTATCAATACTTAAAAATAATTCAAAAAGAAAACAGTGGCATTGTTCTTTGGAAAGAAACAACGGGCAGGGTGGATTTTCTCGTACGTAGTTGTTATTATGTTCTATCTACACTTTTTGATAAATGGTTTAAATTAATATAAGTAAATTTGACTCCTATCTCTTTTAATTAATAATGAATTTATTTGACGATGTAAATGCTTGGACTCAATGGCAAGGGATATTTCTTATATCGCACACTTTTTCTTTTTCAACTTTTAAAGCATTTATAAACTAAAAAAAAGTTTACAGTGTAGTATATTTTTTTAGGATTATAAAAAAAATCATTTGAGGAATATTATTGCAGAGTTATTGTGGAAATTTAAAAAAAAAAAACTTACGAATGTTATCGCACTGTAAAAAGTTTGTTAATTGAAAAATCTATTTAGAAAAAGTTTTATCATTTTTTTCGTGATTTTTTTTAAAAAACTAAAAAATTAAATGTTCAAAAAATACTTACGAGTGCCATCGCTAGGTGCAACTTTGCAAACCATCTTGATTTCCACAATAAAATATTAAATATTTATTTCACATTCGTATTCGAACCCGGGACGTGGGGCGCGCACACAACCGCAACAAGCGACCGCGCGACAAACACTGGCCGTGGCATTGCCCACTTCGGCTGAACTGCACGTAAACCTGACTGGTAAACAACACACATATATAGTGAAAATTCTGAAAAATACTGAATTTATTAAAGAAAATACAAAAGGAATCAAAAATGGTGTTTGAAATAACTAATGAGTCTCTAAGCTGATTTTAAATTGTACAATAAAAGCTTTTGTTTCAAAAATTAGCTCTAATCATACTTCTTACTAATATTATAAACGCGAAAATTTCGATGGATGGATGGATGCATGTTTGTTAAAGTTTGTAGCCTAGACGGCTGACCGAATTTCGATGAAATTTGGCATAGACGTAGAGGATAGTCTGGGTGAACACATAGGCTACTCACTTTTGTTTTTTTTTAAATTCCACGAGAACGGAGTCGCGGACGAAAGCTAGTAAGTTTATAAATCTAGTTGTTACCCGCGACTCCGTCCGCGAGGAATTAAAAGAAACTATTTGTAGCCTATTTGTTCTTCCAGACTATGTTCTACTATGTCAAATAGCGAAATCTGATAGGACGTTCTGTCAATACGTAAAAAACATCCATCCATCTAAACTTTCGCATTTATACAAGCTAGTGTTCATTGCAAATGATTCACACAGTTTTGAAAGTTAATTAAAATCCATACATCTTTTATTTTATAGAAATATCTCTAAAAAGAGACTTTGTAATATGGAAATAGTTTTTTTTATGCCTTTTATAAAACTGTATATATATCAAGAGTCTGCACAAGATGTAAATACGGTTGTCAACTCAATTACTGGCTAACTTACTCGACTTATGTAAGTTACAACTCGAAGATAATTAAGTTGAGTTAAGTGAACGCTAGTGACCCGCGATGGCGCCTCACAGACACCAACCACTGCAAAAACTAGTTCCCACTGGTTTTAGAGTTAAATTCTGCTCCTAAGAATACATCAGGCGTAACTGCAAACTGCAGTACTTAACTAATTCAGTAATTTATTCAATTTTGATCCTTAATTCACGGTAATAAAATTGTATTTTGCATTATCAATGTTTGATATTGAAGACATTTCTATTAAATTTATTGCAGGCGCTATTTTAAGATGGCTATTTCTAGCTTCGAACATTTAAGTTATTTATTTACAAAAGATATCGTTAAAGCAGTTAAGTTTACCTTGACTTCTAAGTTATAAATATGCGTTTAATATAACGTTAGAGAAAGTGTTTAGAAGTTTATTATTATAGTAAGCTTATATACATAAAGACAAAACTATAAATATTGCAAATAGGTATAATTCTGAAATTACTTGCTGCTTTTTAACATATTATAATACCGCGTGGAATTAAAAAAAAAACAAAAGCAAATAGCCTAAGTGTTTTTTCAGTTTATTTTCTACATTTGTGCCACATTTCATCCAGTTCCATTTAGCCGTTTAGGCTACAAACTCTAACAAACTTCTACCCCTCCACCAACACTTTCGCATTTATAATATTAGTATGATAAACCGATTTTATTTCTGTTAGCAACTATGTTCGTCTAAACATCCCTTAAAAATTTTAATTGCCACACTCAATAGTATAGCAATTAAGTGTATTTATTTTTTAATTCTTAATTACATAACAAATGTTACGTTGACTTATTTCCCCTGCATTTACATGTCTAGTACATAATTTTATAACAAACTGCTCGATAGGTGGCGCCAGTCATATAAGACTTCAGACACAGTGATGAAATATCGCGACAAATGTCGTTAGTGTGGAACTGCCTTAAGTCTATGTTCTTTTGTTGCATACCACACGACTGGATACGTTTAGTACAAAGCTATTCCTAGAATAGCCTCCGTATCCAAGGCAGGAATCTTAATTGTATTTAAAAATGTGATATAATATTAGCACGTATGTAAAATGTAAATTCTTTCATTTTCTTAAACGTTATAGTCAAGTCATTCTTTACGAACATTGTAGATCAGACAAGACAAAATGTAGTTTGCCCACTTGAAAGTAACTTTTGCTTGACTTCAATATGTTTGTAATGTCCACTCTATAACAGAATTATCTTTGACTATTTAAGAAAAAGTAATATAGTACTTCGCTTTAGCTATACCATTTTAATAAACTGTATTTTCAAAGACCGTAAACGAGATGTAATTTGCGACGCGGCGCCTGGCGATATCTCCGTACTTTCTCTGTGCGTAAATGATTATTAAAATCACATTATAAGCAAATGAGATATGTCCAGAGATCTATGAATTACAACTAGGCTTTGAATACTAAATTTCTACCTTTCGTGAACTATCATCTTGTTATCGTTGCGACTCAGTAGTTTTTTAAATACTTACTAACTATTATTAGATTTTTTTTTCTACTAATCCAATATATAACGTATATTTTCGACCTTTGTGTCAAATTCTCAATCACAATGTTTCCCTTCACCGTTAAATAACATCGGGTAATTTATATGAAATTTCAAAATCGAGAAACATTACATGGTAGGATTCGACAAGAGCCTGCAATAAGTCAAGTGCTTAAACCAAGCCATCGACGCTCTTATCATCATCTTCCTCCCTATCCTACTCCCGTAAGGTCGGCACAACAGGTTTTTGTCCTCCAAATCTATCAAACATCATCTCAGTCATCACTCTCTTTGATCATGTCACCTTTCACGCAATCCATCTCTTTCTAGATCTACCTCTACCGGTGTACCCTTCCACACTCAAACTAACGTTCTCCTTGTAACATGCGATTCATCCCTCCCATCGACGCTCTTATCTCATCGAAATAATACAGGAGTATACAGTAACGTTTACTGAAGTTAACTTCACCTTTAAAGGTATTAATTACAGATATACATATGTTATGGCAGATTGCGTGCTTCGCTTAAATCAAACCTAAATTAATATTTTAAACAATTTTAGGTCATTCAGATCTCCTAACGGTATACAACAGTTACTGATTAAAGATGCTTGAAAATAATAAAGGCAATATTTTAAATTGTTTCTTAATAATATAAATCACTGGTTTAAATCATACGCTTCGATACATTTTTTAAATTCTCTGTAGCTATACCGTATTACATTTTCATGTCACGAAAACGAAAAGCAGGTCACCTCATGTTCTTGTAACATTTTTACAGTTTCTTTGAACCGAAGATAGGATAAATAGAAATAATAGTTCGTTTTGTTAATTACTATTTCTTTAGTTAAAATACCCTTGCCATCCATTTTAATGGGAAAAGATGTGAAGGGGAGAGGACAATAATCGTTAAAATTTATTTTTTAGTTATTTTGTTTTTGAGTTTTAATTGACAGTAAGATTTTTAAGACATGTTTAAAGAAAAACTTTGAGATACTAACAATACAATCTCATTAAAATTGCAGATAAGTAATTTAAAATCTGAAAAAGGACAAACAAAGTAATTACAAAAGACCGTATCCCGGAATCGAGTCCCGAAGGAGTCAAGGCTCCGGCGCTGACCGATGACCGTGTGCTGTGTACAGTCAAGTCATAAATCAAACTCTGTACATGTAACGTGAAGGCACACCTTGACTTTGAACCTGGACAGTCGTGCACGAAAGTATTAATAAAACTGTTCTTTTGATTTTAACTTTATTTTTATGAAATATATTATATACAAGACTAATGTGGACCTGTCACACTAATTTACCTCAAGATTTTTTTTCACATTTGTATTATAAATTTTATTGCTTAAATCTATGAATTTTTGTATAAAAATGTTACAAAATAAATATGTATGTTCTATTTTTTATTTTAATTGCAAAATCATTAATTACTGTCAAAATTAATTTGAAGGTAAAACAATAAGAATTAAAAAAAAAAAAACATTTGTAACGTGTCCACTTTT